AGCTCGGATACCCCAGGTCTTTGCGGGACCCACCGGCCGAAAATGTCCATGCGCCTTTAAACTCCTCGCAGAGACCTGCATTTTAATGTAAAAAAATGTAAAAAAATGATGTAAAAAAATGTAAAAAAATTAATTTTTTTACACTAATGAATAGGAAAAAAATGCAAAAAAATGCAAAGAAATACTAATGAATAACCCCATAAACCATGCGGCAAAACCGTGCCAGGGTTGCAAACTAGGCTCCGCCCATTTTTCCTCCCAGATGGTTCTTCCCACTTTTTGTTTTCCTCCCAGTTGGTGTGCTCTCCTCTCACGGGTTACTGTCTACAAAAAAGTTCACTGTCGGTGTTTGCGTACAAATAACCCAAGATTTGCCGAGCAATAAATGAATTAATTTTTTGTGGTTTTTCATCATCATCTTTATTTTTGTGTCATTTTTCGAAAATTCTCTATTTTGAATCGGTTCCAAGGCAAAAAAAAACCGGTTTTTCGTATTCATAACTTTCAATGGTAAAGAATTTTCAGATGAACGACGGGGTTAACAAAGAGGAAGTCATCGAAGAAAAATGTAATTTTACGTTTAAAAATGGCGAGTACGTCGAAATAAAACAAGAGGAAATTGAGCGAAAACCTGAATATCTCCTAGAAAGAGAAATCAAATCCGAATCGATTGATTTTTTCGAAAATAATATTTCGGATGAATTTTTCGAAGACGTCGAACGGAAGCCGAGAGGAAGCGATTCTAAAAATGAGAAGGTACTCGCAGAATTCGAAGCTCTATCATGCAAAATTTGTTGGAAGAGAATGCCAAAAAATCTTTTGAAATTGATCATGTCGGAAGAGGATAAAACAGTGCTGTCTGAAGTTTTCAAATCTGGAGAATCTCTGGAAACAAGGGCATCCTACGTCTGTGTTTCTCATATCAAAAAGATTATTAGCGATAATGACATCAAAGTTAAGATAACGAAAACGCCACTTGGGCATCTGATGCGCTCATTCATCGAAAGAAACACTTATTTGATGCAAGTCAACAAAAAATCGATAAGTTTAATAATTACAATTTTCAGAAGAAACAGGACATCAAAAAGAAAAATTTGCAAAGTTTGTCACATGAGTGAAGATTTTTCTAAATTATATCAAATCAGTTCAAAGGGTATTCGAATTGCGCTTATGATTGGATGTATTCTACGTGGAACTCATTCAATCGATCAAGCGAAGTCTTACATAGCGAATAAAGAAGGTGCCACTTGTTATTCACATCGCAAAGAGACAATTGACATAATTTTCGAGCATTTGGGAATCAGTGGTATTCAGGAGTTTTTAGGGTGTCCCAGAACATCGATGGGCGGTTTGGCGGATATTGCGAAGAACTTCGATTCGGATTTTACAGTTAGGCAATTCAGTCATGCATTCAAATTGCTTTATATGAGAAAACCGAAATTTTTGAGTAGTTTGTAGTGTTTATAATTTTTTCACCCAATTTGTTTTTTAAAAATAAATGTTCTCTTGTTTTTTCTTCGGATATTGCTTGGGTCAATTCCCAAAAAAATCTGTCAGAAGAGAATGCCGAGAAATCGTTTGAAAATGATCAAGTCGGAAACCGATATGATTGTGCTTACTGAAATTTTTAAAGCTAAAGTATTAAAGGAAATGAATCCGCCCTATTGTCGAATTAAAAAAGTGGGATCTGGAAAATTTCGCGGGCGGCTTGCCGGTCAATTTTCGAGGCCTTGCTCCAGAAACACTACGGCACTTGGGTTCAAGCGAGGGGGTCAGAAAGCGCGCCCCAGTAAACTTTTCAAAAATTCTCAATTCGCTGCCGAACTTCGTTGGCTGAGTATCACAGTTTTAAACGATGAGCGAGAATACGCGCGTTGCAACCCGTTGATTTTAAAGAAATAGATCATGATCTAGTTCAAACCCGCGTTCATTTTATTCTTGGTATGAAAATGATCGCTAGCGCCTCTAGAATCTGTTTTTCATCGAAAAACTGAACTTAAATGGGAAACTTACTCGAACGAGCCGAAAGTCTGAAATATTACGTTTTTGCCGCGCTTTTTCGTAGATAAAAAAAAGCGACGCCTTTCAAATTCTCAGGTCCCACTTTTCTTGATTCGACAATATGTCTGTTATTCTCTTATTCAAACAATTATTGACGATAAAGAAGGCAGAATGAAGTTTGCGGGTACTCCATTTGAAAAACGTTTGCGCCGATTCATCGCAAAAAACAAGCATTTGATGTAAGTCGACAAAAAAATCGAGAAACTTAATAATATAAATTTTCAGAAAAGTCAGGTTTTCACAAAGAGGATTCTGCAAAGTTTGTCACATGTTGAAGGACCATTCTGAATGTTATGCCATTGGTTCCAAGAGAATTCGAATGATGATCATGATTGTGGATGCATTCTGCGTGGCACTCACTCAATCGATCAAGCAATGTATTATGAAACCATTAATAATATGCTCACATGTTATTCACATCGCAAGGAGACGATTGACAACATTTTCGAACATTTGGGAATCAGTGGTATTCAGGAGTTGTTTAGGTGCCACAACATTCGATGGGTATTTTGGTGGACATTGCGAGGAACTTCGATTCTAAATTCACAGCAGATCAATTTTTCGGTACATTCCACATGTTTTATATGAAAGAAGCAAAATTTTGAGAGGTTTTCGTAGTTTTTGTTTTTGTTATTTTTTCTCACACAACTTTTTTTGTTATTGAAATAAATTTACCCTTGTTTTTTTTTCTAATTTGGTTGGGTCATTTCCCAATTCTTATTGCTGGCTTTCTCTTTCTTTTCGAGTAAAAAAAACACCGAAAAAAATATAGGCGGCTTATATAGGGTTACTGTCTCCAGAAAAGTACACTAAAGGTGTTTGCGTACAAAGGAAGCCAAGATTTTCCGAGCAATTGTCGAATTGAGTTTTTTGTATTCCTTGAATGATAAGAGACCATTCAAATCGGAAAGATTTTAAATCCGAAAGAAACGAAACGGGTGTGCTGCTGATCTTGCTACTTCCGACTATTGGTTGTTTGGCGATATGACACGTGCCTTCGAAGGAAGAAGCTTCAATTCCCGTGGAGCGGTCGAAGCGGCACTCAAACAATACTTTGCCTCACGCCCGGCTGGATTCTACCGCAATGGAATCCATGGATGGAGGGAACGTTGGAGACATGTTGTTGATAATGATGGACAATATAATTAATTATTCGGTTATTTTTTCTTTGAGAAATAAACTATTGAAAAAGTGACAAAGACTTCCCGCCAACCTAATAGTAAAAAAATTATGAGTATAGTGAAAACTGGAAGAGAGTTCCAAAAACTTGAAAAAGTTATGATCATAAAAAAGAGAGCAAAGAAGAAAAGAAAAAAGGAAAAACGAGGGCATATGTAGTTGAATACTCCTTTGCATCTCTCGTTTCGATATGTCTCTCTTACATCATAAACAAAGCCTGTGTGGCTGACTTGTCCTTCGTTGGCCCATTCACAGCCTATTACTCTCACATGAACAGCAAAAAGAAGAAGAAGAGAAAAAATGTCAGATGTATTCATAGCATTCTTATTATTTTTTTGGTCAAAAACGGAATCAGAAAAAGAAGAAAAAGAAGCAAAGAAAGAAGACAAATGAGAGCACAAAATGAGAGAAAACACGAAAAAGGGAGAGAGTATTATCCTCTCCCGTTTTTCCGTCTGATATGTTATCCCATTCGATTGTTTACATGTGCTCTGTGTCTTGTGATAACATAGTGATTTGAAGAAGAAGTAAGCGAAAAAGGGCAAATGGCAGAAGACGAAGAAGAAGTAGTGGTTGAGTAATTCTCTGCTTCCTTCGTCATGCACTTTAATCTAAGTAATTGAAAACCCGAAGAGACGGATTAAGAGTTAGAGCTCTTTTCTTTCGAAAGTCAGTGACCTGGTTCAATCAACTTTTGGAAGCAAAGGAAATTAAAAAGAAATCAAAAAGTCTTTAGATCTTCAGCTATACTGCCTAGATCTGTGGATGTTCGAAGCGGAATTCGGAATCCCGAAATTTTTGAAAATCCCAGTCGAAACATTTCCGAACTTTTTTTGTTTCCTTGAGGGTCTCGAGAGGAATTACTTCTATTAATTTTCGCTTTCCTCGAAATCTGTTTGCCAATTTTTTAGACTTCTATGATGGGAAAGTGGGATCTCAAAATTCCGGAATTCTGAAGATCGGATTTTTCCGAAATTCCAAAATATTCAAAATCGAAATATTCCAAAATTCCGATTTTCCGGATTTTCAAAAATTTCAAGATTGGAATATTCCGAAATTCCAAAATTTGAAACGCGGAACTTTCCACATTTAGAAAAAAAACCGAAAAAGCCATTCCTAACATTCCTGACCTAGATCCAAACTTTTAATCTGGTTGGATTTGAGCCCTGTATGCTGATGTTTTCAAAGTGGAATGAGAAAAAAATATTTTTTTATTTTTCAAGAGCACTCGATACAAGAGATCATTTAGTTTTCTGAGCTGCCTTCTTCTTTCTCATAAATCCACTCTTTTGTGCCTTCCCAATAGTACTGTACTTCGATTTGTTAGGCTTTGGCTTGTCTCCGATTGCAGTATCATGAACAACACCAGTACTGACAGCGAACCTGAAAAGACACAATTACTTTGACTTCCTTAACAGAAAACTACTTCATGAGCATTTCACGAGCAGTCAAATATGCGGCTGGAGCTCTGAAACAACCATATCTCTGCACCTTGATAGCTGACATTGTCTCCTTGAATCCGACAGTGTGCTCTTCGGTCATTCTGCTCACGATGATGTCGATTGTAGCGTAAATGGAGCATTTGGTGATGCCAGTTGCACAGACAAGAAGAATCGGACCATTATTTGCACCTGGCTTTTTCGAACTGCGGATATACTGTACTTTGATCTGGAAAAGAAGGTGGTTTTGGATGAGAAGGATTATTTCAGATTATTCGGATCAGATGATAAGAGGATCTAAAAAATAAGGCAATGTGTCTTTGGCCAATATTTTTTGATGAAAGATATATTTCTGGATTTTTAGATTCTCTGAAAAAACAGAACAAAACTTGCAGAAGCTCTCATATCGAGCATATACTCCGGCAGTTGAGCGGTATCTGCCCATTCGTGGAAATGCATCAAAACAGTCTGATTCTCTTGTTTATTCTCCGTCACTGACAAACTGAACGTCTTCATATGAGTCTCAGAATACTCGTCTTTTGTTTGAATCATCAGCGTATCAAACTCCTTTTTCGATCCCTTATCCGGCCAAAATGTGCTGCACAGTTTGGCTTTCATCTCGGTCTCGTCCAACTTTTTCGCATCGAATTCGTGAAGAAATGCCTTTTCAAAATCCTTTTCAGAGATATCATAAGGCACTTTACGTTTCTGTTTCTCGTCAACGTCTCCAAAAACCAGAATCATCGACGGCTTCTTCTCACCAACCATTCTCCAAAACGTGTGCTCTGTGATATCATCAAAGGGAGCTTGTGCGAAAATGTAGGCGGCTGAAGGTTAAAAAAAATATTCTATGAGACGATCCGGACACAAAGTTAAAAAAAATTACATTTCCGATTATATCCATCAACCCAGGAGGCGTGATAATAATCCCCAGTTCCCTTCTGAGCTTTCAATTCGACACGAGTGTGATCAAAACAATAGAGATGAGGAATACGGTTCATTTCCATATTATTCAGACTCTTGTCAAATGTGTATGGGAAGGTCATCGCAGCAGCATGCATATCAGCGAGAAGACCATCCTGGAGAAAGATATATTTTTGTAGAAGAAATTCCAAAAAAAAACTAACGTACCCCTTCGGTGTGAACTGCATTGAATGCTTCGACTGGAGTGATATCTGCCTTGTTATCCTCGTCTGCATCCTGTGCAGCTGATGCTCCAGAAGACCCCGATGCTTGCGGTTCCGTTCCTGCCAACTGGCGAATTGATCCATCGATTTCGTCTTCCACCCAGCTTTGACTAAAATGTGGCATTCTTTTTCAGAACTCGTTTTAGAATTTGATAATATCGACCATTTACCTTATGAAACTTCTCATGCAATCCGTCGGCGTCATCATTTCGATCGCTTGTTTTGATTAGTTTTATTCTCGGAAAAAAACTAATCAAGAAATTATTGAAATAAATATATTTGTTGGATCCTATCAAAAAGTTTTTTCTCTTTCTTCTTATTTCCCTCCATCTATATTTCTCAAGGTTCACGGTCTCCAGTTGTTTCCATTGGAAAAGTTCCAATGAAAACAACCGGAGAACAACCCAATGGAAACAGCCCAATGTGAATTCTTGGGAAAGTACCGGGTTTGGTTACTTTGAATCCCTATATCTTGGTTCCTGTGAAAGGTATCAAAAAATGGTAAACTGATAAAATGCTTATCAAAGTATCAAAAGTATTTTGTTAGTTGACCACTTTTTCATATATTTTACAGCAACCGAGATAATTAGCTCAAAGGTGATAGTTAAGAAATTCATTTTATTAGAGTGTTTACGGTAGTAACTGAGGCGCTTGTCTTTTTAAAATTTTAGAATATTTTTTGTACAATATTTCGCACTTCACAATTTGTAAAATTTTCTCCTCCTTTAAAATTTTTGTTTACCAGCTAAGCAGTTTCTAACCACTCTCCAACTATTTAACTTAACATTATCTTCTTTTTCTAATGATATCAACTTTAATACAACAACAAAGTTTGTCATTTGAAACTTTAATTCACGGTTTCATGCGGTTTCCATGACAACATCTCCCATTGGATCTTCTGTTTCTCTCACTCGTGAGCAGCCGTTGCCATAGGAGATCACGAGTCTTCAGCTTCTTCTTCTCTCACCCTCTTTTCATTCATTCTTATCAATTTCTAAGCAACCAGCCCTTTTCACCTTTTTTTTCTTTTTTTAAACATTTGACTTTCAGTGGTAATGAATTTGATGAACATCCTAACTCCTGAAATATTCTATGTTCTCGATAAGCACTTCCAACAACCACTCAAAAATGTGCCAAAGGTCTCTCTCCGTTTTCTGAAACTCTTTTATGCATGGATCAGCATCGCTTCAATTTGGTACATTGTCTTCGGAGCATGGTTCCTTCGTGGAGCTGGATCATGGTACTCCTGCATGACAGTTGTCTTGGCTGTCATCCTCTCACTCGCATTCTTCTACGAATCCGATGGACGAGGTTGGAAGAAGTTCGCGACCCTCTGCGTCTTCTGCGCTATTCCACGCCTTCTGGTCTCTCCAATCTACGCCGTGGCAAAGGTCCAGACATCAAATGTCAATGGAACTCAGACTCCAGACTTTGTTGAAGCCTTCCACAACATATCTCTGTACGCTCAAACTCTTTTTATTTCTCTTCTGAAACTCTATTTCAGTTTTAGCTCGGGATTCAAGGAGAAGCACAATGACATCAGCATGATCTGGTTCGTCTACTACTACAATTTCATGTTGATCTTCAGTAATCCATCAATAAGAAATCACAACAATTTAAAATATATTTTTCAGTAACAATTCAAAGAGTCTCGGTTCGCAAGGCACTCGATGAGAAGAAACAAAAGGTCTACGCGGAGACTCTGGTTGTCGAGGAGGCTCAAAGAGCCGATGTCAAGCAAGGCACTGGACCAATGCACATTTGATTGATAGTTCTGATAATTGTCTCTCAACCTTTTCATACTTGAATAAACTCTCATGTTAAATCATCTTGGCTTTTTCACATGTTTTGCTTTCTCACACCAGAGAAAAAATAGATTTCTAAAAAACCGAACAAGAGGTGACGAGGGAGCGTTTAGTCAGGAAAATTCCCCAAGCGATAACAAAATTTATCGGTTCTTCTTCCCCTTTTCTCCCATTCATTCTCGTCTCCCGCCCTCTGACACGCACCAATTCTTTTCTGTTTTTTCGATGTTTTTTGAAAAAGTTTCGAAAATTCGGCAACATTCGAGAACCATGGCAAAAATATTGGTAAGTCAGAACTTTTTGGGGTACTGTATTTTTCGATTTCTCCCTTAACTCTTATCTTTGAGTGAATTTTTCTTGGTTCCTGTCAAAGATATAAAAAATGTCAACTGATAAATTGTTTATCATAACATCAGTAGTGTTTTGTCAGTCGACACATTTTTGATATCTTGCATTAGAATTGAGATAATTGAGCTCAAACGTAACATCATTAAAAGTTTAAAAGTGATAGTGTGCCATTAAAAGTGATACTCAATGACCTAATCAGAGCATTTTTCAGATATTTATACTTCTAACGTCTTCATCATTATCACTTGCGGAGAAAGAGATCAACATAACGTCATCAGAGAAATCTGGAAATCTGACGCACCCCAATAACGAAATTCATATTCCGAATTCGCCAGAAAACGATGATGATGAGATTCCACTCGAAGTAATTCTTCAGAAGACAAGAGAGTTCGATGATGCCCCAACGAGACCTGATATTCCATACCTTCCACTTATCCAACGATGTTCTATCGACGCAGATTGCTCATCTGAAAGCGCCTGCTTTGATGGAAAATGTCTAAATGCTAGTCGATTCCAGCTATTTCCTTATCTATTCCAACGATGCCAATCCCGTCTCGACTGTCCTTCTGGTAATCGATGTATTCTCAAATATGTGTATTCCGTTTAGATGGTAATCCTTATATTTTCATGACATTGATTATTTATATAATAAAAGTTCACTCTTCTTTTATTTCT